GGGGGGGGGGGGGGGGGGGGTAGTCATGTCTTTCATGCCTTAGCTGTAAGACCATATCACCACGCGTCCTCAAGAGGACGGAGCATTGTTCCCACAGGAGGGGGGGGTGGATGGCTGTGGGAGATAAAAACAGAGCCAATGATACGGCGATGTGTAAGTAGGCACGTGCATCGTACCCCAATCACGGGAAAGAAAGGGATACATTGTGTGTTGGTCGGAATTATGGCTGTGGGAAGCCGTACAAGACAAGGCCGAAAGATACGGTGAAAAAGGCACAAGCATCGTACGTCCAATCACGGGGGACATTGGCGGTGTGCCCTAACACAAGGGGGCCGAAGATGGCACAAAATCTCACAATAAGAGATGACACAAAATCTCACAACGTCTTCGTTGCTTCTCACCGCGGGGAAAGGCCAGAAACAGAGGTAGGGGGGTGCAAGGGGCCCCGCCACTCTAACCCGGGGACACATACAACGCAGTCTATCGGCGAAAAGGCTCACGTTTCGTAGTTGCCTGATGCTGGTGAGGGTCTCCCAGGACCGGAAGGCGTTCGTGGCCGCCTCCAGACGCAGCCCCCTCGTGGCCAAGTAGCCGCAGTACACCTGGAGTAAACCCAGCAGGCAAGGAGAGAGGAGACGACGTGTCAAGCGAAAAAGGCACCGGGGATCCTTTCGCGAACCCTTTCTCGAACCCTTCCAAAACAACTGGGGCGTCGATCGGAGAGAGGGAGAGAGAATACGTCGTTTTAGAAGACGACCCACCCGCCATGTACATATCGGAACAGAAAAGAGAGAAGAATCCGCTATTTTTTGACGAGAAACCTCCGCCATACACATACAGAAGCAAAAAGAGAAAAAAATACTAGACATATTTTTTCCTTCCTTCTCTGCTGTGGCGTGTGCGTACCTTGAGCCAAGGCGCGTACACCCCGCCGTCGGTCCTCATGTGCTTCCCGAGCTCCCCGGCCCCCTCGGCCCACTGGTCCTTCATGAACGCCGAAAATCTCGCCGCCTCTTTGGCGGGACTGTCACGCTGCAGGCGGTGGACCACGTACCTTTTTGTTTGTTCCGTGCGCCCGCAAAAAAAAAGAGACAGGGACAGGACAAAACGGTTGGGGGACGTCAACAACCATGCAAAAAAGTACATGTACCTATAACAGATTGTCGTAGGGGTAAACAGAGAGAGGGGGGGGGGAGGCCGGCACTTCAAACCACCTATAAATCACCCGCACGCCGATCGGATGGCACAGCAGCTCGTAATGCGACGTGGCTGCTGCTGCTGCCACTGGGGAACGTGAGCTGCCGCTTTGAGGCAACCTCCTGCCGGACAGCTCGGATGTGTACACACGCACGCACAGATATGCGCCCCCCCCCCCCCCCCCGGGGGTTTTTATCTTTTGGGAACAAAGTTTAAAAAAAAACCCCCCCCCCCGGGGTTGTGATTTGGGTTTGGGTTTTCGCCATTGGGAAAGAAGTTATAAAAAAAAACTCCCATTTCGGGTGTGGTATTGGGATTTGGTTTTTATCATGTGGAAAAAAAATTTAAAAAAAAAAGAAATTATTTTTTTAAATCTGTCACTCTGTTTATCTCTTTTTTTTTTTAACTCTGGTTTTTTTTTTGGGGGTAAAAATAAAGGGGGGCGAATAAAATATGTTTTTGGGG